GACCATTGTTGAGGAGTGATAAGTCGAGTTACCCATGGAGTGGAGGTGACTTATTTTATTACTCAGTCCTGTGGTCTAAGATCCCCTAGAGATCTTAACGTGGCATATTGATAATGGTAATAGTGATAATGATGATGATGACGATAACGATGATGATGATGATATTTCACGGTCATAGTGGATCCTGTAGAGGCTTACAATAGAGTATAGTGGCTCCTAAGATCAGAATAAACCAAGCCTAAAGGGAAGATGCTAAGCTGAGAGGGTAATGCCTCTCGAGGTATGTGAATGAGATGACATGCTAAGCCGTGAGGGTTGTAACATCACCACTTACTAACCAGAACTAACCATGATAGAAAAGATTAAAACTAGTAAACATACCCTATCATGGTTATTTAAGAGCAATCACATCATTAAAGGGCTAACCATGATAGAAAAACATTCGACCTTAATTAAGACTATCATGGTTAGAAAAAGAATAACCTATAGTTGTAATCATGGCAAACATGATTATAAAACAATATGCCTTTGAATGATAAATTATAATAGCAGTTTAGACTTGACTATCTTAGTCAACACTAGCAACAACTAAACTTGCCAAAATTGCCATTATCACATCGTGGATCCACAATAATTCAATCACATGCAATCTAAGGGTCTCAAGCCCACTACCAGCACCCCATTCCAATGTCCAAACAAAATAAACCAAAGATAGAAAGTATAATACGTTCATTTAGTCAAACGATATAAAAATATAAGAAGGTAAAATAAGTTCCAAATGAATGCAGTCCTGATGCGTGGCAATATACGAAAAGATTACATAAAATAAGGTCCAGAAGCTCTACACTGCCAGCTACAGTTATTGAGCCTCAGGAGTCTTCCCCGAAGGTCCCGCTAACGTATTGTTTCCTGAAAATGGTAAAGCAACAGGAGTGAGACAACGTCTCAGTAACTAAATCCCTACCTATCCCACACCCTAGCATGGGCTAGTGAGGTGTCAGGTGGGATACACAGAGTTAATAATAGTTGATAAACATTTATTTAACATTTAAACTCACAATAATCATACAAGACAAATATTTCCACCAGTCTCATGCAATGGATACATTTCAAAAGAGATAACATACTTGTCATTTATTTAAAAGATATAAATATCAATGAATATCTCATGTCATATGCAATTCCTGAACCCAAACCCATCCTTATATCCTCCTTATTTCCGCCGACTGGACCCATGGGCTAAGTTCTTTCCATTTGACTGGCAACTCTAACAAGCTCACCACACGAATGATGTGGACCGGCCAAAGACCACAGAGCACTCGGTGGACCATGGGTCCCCCCTCGAAGAACTAGTGGGGTGTCGCAGTCCCTCGAAGAACTAGTGGGACAATAATAGCAGCCAACCATAGAGCTCTATATGGAGGCTAATACCACGTGGCAAGTATATGAATCTCAATAACTCCAATTATCTCCTTTCCCCACCCAAAATAGATGCACAGGGTTCAAAATGACACATTTATATGCATAATCAACAGAATTTCATAATAGCACATCATAATCATGATCACCAATTTCTTGCAATACAAACTATGTCAATCCTTTTTAAAATAGCATCCCACAAGACAGTTCATATAAAACGTAATATACTTTTATAGAATTAGTTATAAAGCCGCTCACCAACTTCATACTAGAGCATACAACAGATAGAAATTTAGTTACTTGGTCTCCTAGCTATCAGTCAACTACAACCAAGTCCAACCTCGAAAATGCCACAATAGAGTTTATATCCAATAACTTGTAACTCAGAGATCAAAAGAGTGATCCAACCGTTGAAATTAACGATTTGGATGTCCCAAATGGACTGACCAAATTTCAGTCCGATCCAACGGTTAATAAAATCAAAACTAGCACTTTTCTGAGACTACCTCAGATATGTGCGAAAATTATTTACTTACTCCAAACTCCACTCACTAGCTCTTATATATAGGCTCCTCAAACTCCTTCACTCTAAAGATTAGTCGATGTGGGACTTCTATACTATGGTTTAATTTTCTAGAATATCATCCACACATACACACAATCACATACAAAAACATTATTAAAATAATAATAATAATAATTTGCCTATATCTAACTTCTTCTTGTTTTTTTTTTAACTTAATACTAAAATATATTTATTTATAAATTTAATTAAATACTAGATAAAAATAAGGATGTTACAGTTCTCCCCACCTAAAGAAATTTTGTCCTCAAAATTCAATAAAGGATGACGTGTTCATACCTTTATCGAATAGATGAGGATAGTCACGACGCATTCTCTCCTCAGTTTCCCAAGTAGTATCCCCATGTGACATGCCCTTCCAGAAGACTTTGAGGAGTCTAATAGTCTTATTCCGCAATTCCTTATCCTTGACATCCAGGATTCTCTCTGGTTCTGCTTTATAAGTCAAGTCTTCTCGTAGTTCCACCTCTTCTAATTCTATAATATGTGATGGGTCTGGCTGGTATTTCTTCAATTGGGAGACATGGAATATATCATGCACCTTTGACAAGTGTGGAGGTAGTGCAATGCGATAGGCTACTGACCCAATTCTTTCTAGGATTTCGTACGGTCCGATGTATCTGGGTGTCAACTTTTTAGCTTTAATGGATCTACCAATACCAATAGTAGGAGATACCTTCAGGAACACATGATCCCCTACCTCAAACTCTAGCGGTCTTCGTCTTTGATCGGCGTAGCTTTTCTGTCTACTTTGTGCAGTCAGCAACTTTTGTTTGATTACTTCAATCTTCTTGGTGGTCTCATCCACATACTCAGGGCCAATAATAGTCCTTTCACTCAACTCTGTCCAACACAATGGCGATCTACACTTTCTGCCATATAATGCTTCAAATGGTGCCATTTGTATGCTAGAATGGTAACTATTGTTATAAGCAAACTCTGCTAATGATAAGTGGCTATCCCAACTCCCTCTAAACTCAATAACACATGCTCGAAGCATATCTTCCAATGTTTGTATGGTTCTTTCGGTTTGTCCATCAGTCTGCGGGTGGTAAGCTGTACTAAAACACAATTTGGATCCCATTGCCTCTTGTAACGATTTCCAAAATCCTGATGTGAACCTGGGATCGTGATCTGAGACTATACTTACCGGGGTTCCATGAAGTCTAATTATTTTGAGACGTACATCTGTGCTAGCTTTTCCATCGAGTAGTTCATTTTAATGGGTAAAAAGTGGGCGGACTTTGTTAACCGATCCACAATAACCCATATGGCATCAAAACCTGCCGGCGTTCTTGGTAATCCCGTAATGAAGTCCATAGAGATACTCTCCCATTTCCATTTGGGTATATCTAGATTTTGCAACAAACCTGGGGGTTTTAAATGTTCGATCTTTACTCTCTGACAAGTGAGACACTTCTGTACATACTCCGTCACATCTCGCTTCATCCCTGGCCACCAATATTGTTGTCTCAAGTCATGATACATCTTGGTGGCTCCTGGATGCATGGTATATTTACTTCGATGGGCTTCCTCTAGTACCAGCCTCTTAATTTCTTCATTACCTGGAATGCACACCTTCCCTTGGTATCTTAAAATACCATCCTCCCCAAGGCTATAATCCTTTACCTCTCCTTTCTGTAGCTCTTTCTTAATTCTCCTTAGGTGCTCATCTTGCAATTGAGAAGCCATAAGTTCCTTCCTTAAATCAATCACCTTAACATCCGACTGTAATAAGGTAGGTGAGCTAGGAAAAACCCTGCTATCCCTCAAGCTCTCCAGTAAGTAGTACTCTCTCAGATTCATACAGAGTACGTGAACCGTTTTTCGGCTTAGGGCATCTGCGACCACGTTTGCCTTCCCTGGGTGATATCTCAGCTCAAAATCATAATCTTTTAGGAATTCTAGCCACCTTCGCTGCCGGTTGTTTAATTCCTTCTGATCCATCAAATACTTTAGGCTTTTATGGTCACTAAGTACTTCAAACTTTGAACCATAAAGATAGTGTCTCCAAATCTTAAGGGCAAATACCACTGCTGCCAGTTCTAATCATGAGTTGGATAATTCTCCTCATGGGGTCTTAGCTGTCGTGAAGCATATGCTACCGCCTTCCTATCTTGCATTAATACGGCACCTAAACCTTTCAATGAGGCATCAGTATATAGGGTATATGGTCGATTCGGGTCAGGGATGGTAAGTACAGGTGCGGTTGTTAATCGGGTTTTCAACTCTTGGAATGCAGCTTCACACTTATCAGTCCAATGAATGGTTGATCTTTCTTTGTCAGTTTTGTTAATGGCATGGCGATCTGAGAGAATCCTTTGATAAACCTATGATAGTATCCTGCTAATCCCACAAAGCTTCTAATCTCTGTAACTGACTTGGGTGACTCCCATTTCAGCACAGCGTCTACTTTACTCGGGTCTACTGCCACCCCCTCTGCTGAAACCACATGGCCTAGAAAGTTTACTTCCTTCAACCAAAACTCACACTTGCTTAACTTTGCATAAAGCTTGTGATCTTTCAACACTTGTAGTGCAACTCTTAGGTGTTCTCGATGTTCTGCTTTACTTTTTGAATAGATTAAGATGTCATCAATAAATACAACTATGAACTGGTCCAGATAAGGTCTAAAAATTCGATTCATGTAGTCCATAAACACTGCTGGGGCATTAGTCAACCCAAATGGCATCACCAGAAACTCATAATGTCCATATCTTGTACGAAAAGCAGTCTTAGAGATATCTGCTGCTTTAACTCTAAGTTGATGGTAGCCTGACCGCAAATCAATCTTAGAAAAGACTGAAGATCCCACTAGCTGATCTAATAGATCATCTATTCTAGGCAAGGGGTACTTGTTCTTGATTGTTACCTTGTTCAATTGTCGATAGTCGATGCACAAACGCATGCTTCCATCTTTCTTCTTAACAAACAACACTGGAGATCCCCATGGGGATACGCTTGGTCTAATGAACCCTTTCTCGAGAAGTTCCTCTATCTATCTTTTTAATTCATTCAACTCAGATGGAGACATTCGGTAAGGAGTCTTGGATATAGGTGTCGTGCTTGGTACTAAATCAATTGTAAACTCAACTTCTCGCTCAGGAGGTAACCCGGTCATTTCCTTAGGGAAGACTTCAGGAAATTCCCTAACCACGTCAATATGATCGATTCCTTCCTCGGTATCCACTTGTATTGAGAAGAACACCGCATAGGCTTGACATCCTTTCCGTATGCATTCATCTACTCGTGTGGCGGATAAGAATACTGACCTACTAGATGGTTCTGTAGGCACCATATCTTCAGGGAAGACAACTACTCTTTTTCTACAATCTAGTACAGCATTATTACGTGATAACCAATCCATCCCAATAATTACATCCATTCCTTGTAATGGCAAACAAATTAGATCTATTGTTGTTCTACGGCCTTTAAAGTCTAATGTAAGGTTTAAACAAGCTTGAGTAGTTCTAACAGAAAAACCCGCAGGAGTAGACACACTCAAAATAATAGGCATCTCCGAGATGTGCAAATTAGAATGCAAGACATATTTATGAGAAACAAAGGAATGGGTAGCACCAGAATCAAAGAGTGCTTCAACATTATGTCCCTGAAGGGATATCATACCTTTGATGGTGTTAGGGGCAGCACCTACTTCTTCTTGAGTAATAGCAAAGACACGGCCTGGCATTATTGATCGAGTATCCCTGGAGTTCTGAATGTTATGCTGATTCTCAGGACAATAACGAGCAATGTGCCCCATCTTGTGACACTTGTAGCATTCCCAACATTTTCCAGGATGGTTCCTTCCACACTGTAAGCAAGGTCCATGGATAGTAGGGGTTGACATCACTGATTCATGATGAGTGATCGGGTTTCTATTAGACTGAGATCTTGAGATTATGCTCTTCTGGGCTGAGCCCTTCTGTACAGACTTCTTGTGGCTTAAACTTCGATTCTTTCCATATGGACCTACACTTCCTATGCCCGTATTATTTCTCTTACTAACCCCTCCACTTGGTCCAGGGTATGAGGAAAACCGCCCTTGAGAATCCCTTTTACAAGCTTCCTTAACCTCACGAGTCCGCCTAGCTGCAACTCGAAGGTTGGTACACATATCTCCAAAATCAGTCACTAGAACCAAGGCCAGTTGTTGCTTCAAGTCTGGTCTAGCTCTTTCTCGTAATTGCCTAGCCATCCACCCTGAGTCCTCATCCCTCCGCAACAATGTCACATACTTGGACAAGTCTATAAACTTAGCAATGAAGTCATCTTCATGCATATTGTTTTGTTGCAAGGCGAAGAACTCTGATTCCTTGTCTTGACGTAAGGCAGGCAGGAAATAGTGATCGAAGAACATCCTCTTGAATTCATTCCAAGTAACATGTGAGTCATCAGCTGGGCTCACACTTTCCCACCAGCGCTTAGCTCGTCCCTCTAACAGCACAATAGCTACTTGCACCTTATGTTGAGTAATGCAAGGGGCAGCTCTGAAAATGGTCTCTAGTTTATCAATCCAACTTTCAGCCTCAACTGGATTCATGTCGCCCTTAAATCTCGGGGGATTATGATGGCTCACATCTTTCCATACTGTTTTCATTGAAACATCCACTAGTGGGGTTTGTTGGACCGTTTCTTTCCCGCTCTCAGTACTTGGAGCACCTCGCTCTCTAGACTGCAAGTCACCTACACTCTTACTCTCAATTGGGTTTTCCTCTGCTCTGATCTCTGAATTTCTTTTTCCCATCATATCCTCCTCCAGCTTCTTAAGCCTTTCTTCCACGACTTCAGCCACTACTTGTCGTAATTGCGTCAGTAGAACCTCGTTATTCTGCTGTTGAGGTTGCTCGGGTAGTTGATCATTAGGTTGATTAAGAAGTTGTTCCGGAGAGGAAGAAGCCTCCTCTACTATGGGTTCAGTCCTTCATGGTCTTGCCATTCTCCCCACCTAAGGATGGAACCCATGAATACAACCAAACGAAAGAAAACATGAGAAAACTAAGGACATTTCAGGAAAGTTTATGCAACTTCGTATATTGCCACTATATGCATGCAGGAAGCGGTTCAAAATCACAAAAAGGAAAAACCAATGGCTCTGATACCAAAATGTAACATCACCACTTACTAACCAGAACTAACCATGATAGAAAAGATTAAAACTAGTAAACATACCCTATCATGGTTATTTAAGAGCAATCACATCATTAAAGGGCTAACCATGATAGAAAAACATTCGACCTTAATTAAGACTATCATGGTTAGAAAAAGAATAACCTATAGTTGTAATCATGGCAAACATGGTTATAAAACAATATGCCTTTGAATGATAAATTATAATAGCAGTTTAGACTTGACTATCTTAGTCAACACTAGCAACAACTAAACTTGCCAAAATTGCCATTATCACATCGTGGATCCACAATAATTCAATCACATGCAATCTAAGGGTCTCAAGCCCACTACCAGCACCCCATTCCAATGTCCAAACAAAATAAACCAAAGATAGAAAGTATAATACGTTCATTTAGTCAAACGACATAAAAATATAAGAAGGTAAAATAAGTTCCAAATGAATGCAGTCCTGATGTGTGGCAATATACGAAAAGATTACATAAAATAAGGTCCAGAAGCTCTACACTGCCAGCTACAGTTATTGAGCCTCAGGAGTCTTCCCCGAAGGTCCCGCTAACGTATTGTTTCCTGAAAATGGTAAAGCAACAGGAGTGAGACAACGTCTCAGTAACTAAATCCCTACCTATCCCACACCCTAGCATGGGCTAGCGAGGTGTCAGGTGGGATACACAGAGTTAATAATAGTTGATAAACATTTATTTAACATTTAAACTCACAATAATCATACAAGACAAATATTTCCACCAGTCTCATGCAATGGATACATTTCAAAAGAGATAACATACTTGTCATTTATTTAAAAGATATAAATATCAATGAATATCTCATGTCATATGCAATTCCTGAACCCAAACCCATCCTTATATCCTCCTTATTTCCGCCGACTGGACCCATGGGCTAAGTTCTTTCCATTTGACTGGCAACTCTAACAAGCTCACCACACGAATGATGTGGACCGGTCAAAGACCACAAAGCACTCGGTGGACCATGGGTCCCCCCTCGAAGAACTAGTGGGGTGTCGTAGTCCCTCGAAGAACTAGTGGGACAATAATAGCAGCCAACCATAGAGCTCCGTATGGAGGCTAATACCACGTGGCAAGTATATGAATCTCAATAACTCCAATTATCTCCTTTCCCCACCCAAAATAGATGCACAGGGTTCAAAATGACACATTTATATGCATAATCAACAGAATTTCATAATAGCACATCATAATCATGATCACCAATTTCTTGCAATACAAACTATGTCAATCCTTTTTAAAATAGCATCCCACAAGACAGTTCATATAAAACGTAATATACTTTTATAGAATTAGTTATAAAGCCACTCACCAACTTCATACTAGAGCATGCAACAGATAGAAATTTAGTTACCTGGTCTCCTAGCTATCAGTCAACTACAACCAGAGTCCAACCTCGAAAATGCCACAATAGAGTTTATATCTAATAACTTGTAACTCGGAGATCAAAAGGGTGATCCAACCGTTGAAATTAACGATTTGGATGTCCCAAATGGACTGAGCAAATTTCAGTCCGATCCAACGATTAATAAAATCAAAACTAGCACTTTTCTGAGACTACCTCAGATATGTGCGAAAATTATTTACTTACTCCAAGCTCCAATCACTAGCTCCTATATATAGGCTCCTCAAACTCCTTCACTCTAAAGATTAGTCGATGTGGGACTTCTATACTATGGTTTAATTTTCTAGAATATCATCCACACATACACACAATTACATACAAAAACATTATTAAAATAATAATAATAATAATTTGCCTATATCTAACTTCTTCTTCTTTTTCTTTTTAACTTAATACTAAAATATATTTATTTATAAATTTAATTAAATACTAGATAAAAATAAGGATGTTACAAGGGTGATTCCTCTTGAGGCTTGATACTAGGATAATCAGGGATGAGTTTGAGATATAGAAGCCCCCTCCAGTGGTTAACTAGTCCGGAGAGAGTACCCTTGACTTTTTCACAAATACCATTATTGTTGATTAGACCAAGAGCTATAAGTCCTGAACAGTGTACATTCAGACAAACTAAATATGAAATAAGAAGGTGAAGAGAAGGATGACTGGATATGCCAACACACCTGTTAAGGACAGCAAAGTACCATAAAGATATGCGGCAAGTCTATGTATTAAGCTTTTAAAGAAATTAGAGTGAGCATTTATTATTGGCAGACATTGCTTATAGTAATAGATACTATTCCAATATATAGGTGGCTCTGTATGAAGCTTTAAATGGTAGGAAGTGCCAATCACCACTGTGTTCGACTAAACTAAGTATAAGAAAAGTTTATAGTCCAAGGATGGTAAATCAAATTTAAGGGTAAATAAAGATGATTGACAAAGATTGTCAACAGAACAAAGTAGGCAAAAAAGCTAGACGGACATAAGAAGGAAGCCGTTAGAGGTTGTTGAACCACAAGAATCGGTCAAACCCTTAAGGCGAAATAGTTAATGCTGAAGACCCTTTCAAATTCTGTTAAAAGTTAAGCTAGTAGCTTATGAATTGGACCTACCTCCTAATCTTAATCAAATACATAACGCCTTTCATGTTTCCCAGTAAAAGAAACATCAACCAAATCCTACTCATATCACTAAGTATGATGGTAACGCATTGCAAGGAGGCTTGACGTTTGAAGTACGACTATTAGGAAGTATGGATCGAAAGGTTAAGCAGTTGTGAAGTAAGCTAACCTCACTGGCTAGAGTAATTTGGGAGGATTTGTTACAAAAAGAAGAATCTGGGAAAAGAAAAATGAGAGGAAGAGTCATTGCCTAGAGCTCTTCACCTAAGGTATATTTTAAATTTTGAGGATAAAATTTATTTTAAAGGAGGGAGAAATGTCACATCCCGCCAAACTTGACCCTAAAAATATGAATAATAAATTAGATAGAGGTTCAAGTAGTAAAGTAGACTCAGAGCTAGAACAACTTTTGAGGTAAGTTTTGATTTTTGTTTGGACTGATATTTTTGAAATTATCGGTCTAGAAAGGGAAAAATGAAAAAATTCCAAAAAAATGCTCAAAAAATAGTTAAAATATGAATTAGATGTTTTGAAACCCTATTTGAGGCCCTAGAGGTGGAAATAGTATAGAAATAAATTATTACAGAATTCTCTGTAAACAGAGGTTTTTCAAAAAAAAAAACCATGAAAAATTAGCCCAAAACAATTATTTTAAATATGTAAAGGCCTCAATAATTCTAGAAAAAATATGAGAAAATTATTTAAGGTTTTATTTGAGTTTATTAAATTTTTTTCCAGGCCATAAAGGTAAAAAGATTAATTTTAAACTATTTATTACCGAAATCTTATCAATAAAGCCCTATTTCACAGAAAATTCAAAATAAATATTTAGAAGCAAAGACAAATTCTCAAATTTTCCAAAAATCTTTCATATATTAGAAAGGAGTTTTTGATGGAGAAAAATAAATTTTTGGAGGCCTAGAACTATTTTTAAAAATAGTAACCAAAATAGTGATTTTTAATCAAAAATTAATATTTATGAATGGGCCCCACTTTTTCTTCTTTTTAAATCAGATTTGGGCTTCATATTAGGTCAAGAGGGCCTAAAAATTTCATGCAAATGGTGGCCCAACAATTAAGGAGTCTTAAGCCCAAATTAAGTCAAAATATCAATAAAAAAATCATGAAACAAGACACTTGGCAAGATCACAAAATTTGGAGCATTTGATGAAGGTCACATGGCCTCTTAGGTGGCCAAATTTGGTGCCACAAATGAGGAGAGGGAGGTCAGAAATTTTCTCTATAAATACCCTCCTAAAACACTATTTTTGTGACATGTCAATATGGGATTTTGATACTTAGTTGTAACATGGGTTGATACCGTTGCAAATCTGTTTTGGTGATAGAGCAAATGTTGAGTGAATGAGATTATTGTTTCTAGAAAATAAACATACCTACTTACTCTAGCCATGATAATGTGAATAGGATAGAGCATATTACTCAGCCACCTAAAGGAGTTTAATATCCCAAGAAGGTACTTCAATTTTCTCTTTGCATCTTATGTTATCCTCTATTTACTTTCCATTTCAGATTTATTGAATTAAGACATGTTTGATTAACTCACAAAGCTTGTTACTCTGCTAGTATATATGACCTGTTGTCGGACCCAGATCCTAGTCATCTCGTAAAAGGGAAAGAAAGAGGAGTTGCCACCAAAATTTTAAAAAAGGTTAATTTTGGGAACCTAAAAAAGTGTGATTTATGAAAACCAAATAGAGTTCGGGAGTCGATTGTGTGTAGGGAAGGTGTTAGGCACCCCATAACACCTGTTGAAGAGAACGGTTACCCTAAATCAACTACTCAAAATTAATATGGCCTTTTTAATTATATTTTAATTACCCTAAAAGATATATAGAAACAAAGAAAAAATTTTTATTTACAAAAAAACAGAAAAAATATTTATAATGTTAGACTTGACCTAGGATAAAAACTTAAGGCCTACGTACCCTTTAGAGGGATCAAAGCCCACACAGTTTAAGGGTAAAAATATGTGTCACTTGGTTAGTATTTTTTAGAAAAGATTTATTCAATTAAAAAAGGGCGTTTTTTGTGGGTTTGTATTTTC